AAAACTGGCTCTGTCTTGAGACCTGTATGTCCCAAGACTGGCTCCATTTAAAACCTGTCCGCAAACTGCTGTCCCAAGACTGGCTTTGTCTCGAGACCCGTCCGCAGACTGCTGTCCCAAGACTGGCTCCGTCTTGAAACCTGTCCTTGTTTGTCTAAGGATACTTTGGAAAGGGACCTGCAACGCTGGCCGGTCCAATTTCCGTGTCGCATCCGGTCTGCACTCCCTACGATTATGCCCATCGGGGTCTCTGGCTCTGGGCCGTCCTTTCTGGCTACCAAAAAGCCACTTCCGGCGTCTTGGTCTGCCACTTATCTCGTGGGTCCCTTGGTCACCCGCTCTCGTGCGCTTATGGTTGATGGTGAGGTGCGAAAGGCGAATTTTGGCTGCTGAAAGGTGGGTAATAATGCCTCCGCAACCTTCGAAACCTCTCGGTACCTATTGTTGGCAGAAAGACTTCTTTCTCCCTTTTAGCCTCCATTTTAGTAGTCATTTCAACCAAATCTAGCTTTTGCTACGTCACACTCGGCGTTCTCATGTCACTCACTGTCACCCGGTTAGCAACAGCAGCATGGACAGCCCAGATCCAGAGTAAGGCTGGCGGCGGCGCGACATTGCTGGGCGCAGCGGAGAAAGGGCAGCGACGGCTGGGCGCGATCGAGGTGGCCGGGAAGGCGTATCGCGAGGGAGGGGCCCGTGTCTGTGTGATATCCCCGTGTGATTGTCGAAGGCATCCTCTCTTCCCCCCACTTTTTTCCCCTGTTTTTTTCCCTTTTTCCCTGTTTTTTTCCACTTTTCCCTGTTTTTTTTCTTTTCCCTGTTTCCCCCCCCCCCTTTTTCCCTGCTTTTCCCCGTTTTCCCCCGTTTTCCCCTGTTTTTCCCTTTTTTTCTGTCACGGGACAACCCCGACCCCCAGGAGGACAGTATATAGCTGGCACCTCGCCAACCACCCTTGCGATAGCTGCGACCTACCTCCTCGCGCAACAACAGACTTACTACCTTAGACCTACCGTCAGCACCGTGACATTTTCCTCGTTTTCCCCTGTTTTCCTATTGTCACCACCCCACGTGTTCTCTGCAGCCTGCCTTTTAAGAACAAATGATTAGAGCAGCCTTGAAGGAAGCCAGATATGCATTTATTGGTTGCATGGCAATCGGGCTGCAAATATCGGTTTATTGATTACTTATACTCGTGTAAACGTTTAGCTAAGTTCCGCACATTATAGCTGCATTAATCACTGCACAAAAGCATCGCTTTCTAAAATGCCATTTATCCTATTATTTATGCTGTATCCTATTATTTATTCCTAAGTACCAACGGGTTTGCGCCAAACGAAGCGCGCTAGGGTACGAGACAGCACGCGGCACTGAAGCGGATAAATCCATCCTCCAATCGC